TATAGATTGCCGATGTCTTTTTATTATTAATCGATAATAAAATTATTAACGTTAAATTTTCTTTAAAATTAATAACGTCGAATCGTCAGCGGTTCTTAAGTTAATTAAATCTTGAGGGAGTTTCGCGAGTTCGATATTTCAGGACTGTAAATAGATCATTAGATCAACTCTCATTTAATTCAAGATTCAATTTAAAAGGAAACGGTAAACTAGGTTAAATAAAAAAAATATCGACTTTCTTTGTGCCGATTATTGTGTTGTCTTCGATGCTCTTATGTGCCGAGTAATAAACAAGCGTAATTACATAAAATTTTTCCCACAACTCAGCCACATCAAAGAGAATAAATATCGTGAACGATCTCCGAGGAAGATTAAATTTTAGCGATTACATTATTGAATAAGGACACGGTGAAAATTGTAATTCCAATAAAACGAGAAAGATAGAAACAAGGTACACAACAATGGGCGTGCGGATTTAGTCTCTGCTTTATTTTCGCTTGAATTACACGGTTCCGTGGGCTTGATAAAAAGCGTCATGACGGAGCAATTTCTAGATTAAGGAGACACGAGGCCGCAAACTGTTTTGTGAAATTTTCAGGCATGGTATTAAGAAAATTTTAATATATGCGCGTGTACCACGGCCGAGACTCAAGAAGGAAGATTAAATGCATCCCTAAATAAAATAAAAGCGCGCATAAATTAAAAATGTCGCGACTGTAATAGCTCTAACAGTCTTCTCTCAAGTCGTAAAATGAGTCCGCTTTAAAAACGTCGGGATTGAGCCTCGGCTTAACTCTCATCCAAGTTGCTGCAGACATGATTATTTATTGCGAAAAATTAACGAAACGGAGATTAGATAAATTAAATTATATTTTCTTTTATTACATTACATATAATTTAATATAGTTTAAAAGGAGAGAAACATTTTTGAGTTTTCGGAATTAGTGATAAAGTTAAAGAAATATCTCATGTATGAGCGATCCGTTCATTTAACGTTTCAAAACCAAATTGAAACCCGCTATATATTCTTCCTTTCATAAATGCGCATCTCCGGTCGTTTTAATCGTCTCTAGATGCTCCTTCGCTTAATCGGCACGTCAATTCGCGAAATCGAGACGTCTCAATTCGCGGGACGTTAATTATTAATGCGAGCGAGTTTAGAGAGCGCGGATCGCTTCCCATGACGGCGGCGGCGTGAAGGTTCCAGGGAAACGAGCGTGTAAAAGGGAGAAAAGGACAGAGACGAGAGAGGAGTCTCCGGCGCGCGCGATAAGCGAACACGAAGTGAAGAAGCTCGAACACGTTGCACCGGGGGGAAATTACGACGGGGCCGTCTCGCGCGTATCGCGTCTCGACGGGAGATCTTAATTGGGTCTGTAAGACTCGGAATGCGGACGACGGACGGGTCTCGGCGTAATTGTTTCCGCGCATATCTATGCCGCTACGTACGTGAATCGTACAGTTGTAATCGCGCTTCTGTCGCGTTCCTGCCTTCTCTCCCGCGTGGACCCGCGGCGCGTGAGATTTCTGTGTCCCGCGTAAGGATTCGACGCGATCGATTGCGATGTCCAAAAAGGATATAATTACTAAACTTCTCGTCCAGGTATCTCTTACGCGCTAGTATACATTTATTAGTCGTGCGTAATAAATATAATATATCTTTCTGTCTTTTATCTTATCTTGGAATTAACTTCATAAAATAGGCGCTCGTCTCATAATTCACATTGTAAGGAGCTTACGGTCGTCGCAGCTGTCCAGGAAGGGAGAATCCCGGACCGTGGAAATTAATATACGTATATGTAATTATGCAATCTCACGATCTCTTCGGGTTGATGGCTCAACTTTAAACAGATACTCATCTCATAATTCACATTGGTAAGAGGCTTACGCTCGCTGTATACGTTTAGGGATCGTCAGGAGTCTACCGTGAATATTAAAGTCGCGGATTCTATACAATTAATGATAGCGAATATCGCGATCTCCGCTCGAATTTCGCACGCGCGCGCGTGCGTGCGTGATAGAAATTCAGGATCAACGTTCAGGAGCGGCCGCTCTTAGGTACCGCGACGTTCTACGTCCTAAGCTCTACGCATTTAAATTCATTGAAGCCAGAAATACAACGTCGAATAAATCGCCGCGACGTCAACCGCGACGTGAAATACGCCCCTTTGCATGCCGAGCGCGGATCTCTCTCTCTTTCTTCCTCTCTCTCCACCTTTCTCGCATGTCGCCTATATTATCCCACACCGATGCTCCCAGGGGCGCTATCTCTATCTTCTCGCCTGCGGCTCCCGAGGGAGCGAAATAGAATTCTCAGTTTCAATTCTACGATCCTCCCCGCTCCCGCCCCTCTACCCCTTTACGCTCGTCTCTCTCTCTCTCTTTCTTTATCCCATGTCCCTCCGCGTCGAGATAGATCTTCGCCGGCGACCCTCGTCGGAGTATCACCTCCATCCCACCTCCCGCTTCTCTCTGCCCCCGCGGGGCAGATATTTTATCGAGATCAATCGATACGCCGATACGATGATCTCCGAATTTCTCCTCGAGCGCGCCTCTTATCGCTCTGAGCGCAAAATATTGCGCGGATAATGACAAGCTTGCCCGAAACGAGGCAATTGCGAGAGCGAAAAATCTTGTGAGAGGAAAGGAGGGAAGAGGGTAGGCATTTTGGATACTCCTCTCTCCCGACGTGTCAAGTGCAGTTATATCGATTTTAGGGAAGAACGTGTATTCCATTAATATCTTTACTTCTTTGTTTTTTTTTTAATTTTTGTCAATTATAACGAGTTGAAAGAAGCAAATAGCCACGCGTGAAATTACGAAGATATTGGAGAAACAGATTAAACGCGCGGATTCTCCATTTCCTCTGGTGCTTCACATTGCAGCAGATATCCTGCGCGCTGAGATCTGATTGTGAGTAAAATCGCCGTGGTAATTGAGGCTTACCGGCGAAACGTCTCGTTGACACTTAACGCGCACGGAAATCCCCGGGTTTTCGATTATGACGGCGGAAAGTCCCCCCGCCGCCGACGAGAACCGTTTCGATTCCTCGTTTTTGCGCGCATTCAACGCCATCGCGCACGAGTTATTCCCATCCGATTAATCCCCTACGTGCCCGCGGCAGCGACGCTATGATTGGCACGCATGATTGTAACGCGACGTGTTACGAGCTTCGAAAAGCGTTCGGATTAATCTCGGATGGACGGTGCGGCGCGATTGAGTTGGTCATCCGCGCGCGCGCAAGATAATACGCAACTTAATGATGATAATCAGTGGAAAGTGACTGCAAATTGCTCACGCTTCGCTGAATAAGAAAAACGTGTTATTACATTATGTATTATGCAACGTCGTGGCACGTACTTTACATGCGTCCCGTATGTCCTCCCATTACAAAAAGTCTCATTCGCACTTACATTAGCACGGTCGTTAATTCCAACTTTATATTTTCTGATTAATTAAATGTATCGCTCAAGTTTTATTTTCCTCGTCTTCGTTTCCTTCTGAAATATTAATTTTTCGTTTTACTTAAATATTGTATTTTTATGCATATGTGCCCTTTGTACGTGTATATTTAAACGTCATTTTCGTAACGCTAAGCGAAAGACAACTCCATTTTAATGGGGAAAAAGTAGGAATGTCCACGAGTTATTTGCGAACAGATCCTCGGTGAAATATCGGCGAAAGATCTCTCGCCTCCCGGGAAGATTTCGCGCAACGACCACCGAATAGATTGCGAAACTTCTCCCGCGTCGTAAATAACTCTCCTGTAGTCTAGAAACAACGAGATTATTCTTGAAACTTGGAGGATATTTCAAGAGAGAATCTCGAGAATGCCGAACATAAACGTCCGACAGATCGACCTATTTTCCTATTATTAAACCTAAGCCTGATACACGTCCTTCTCGCGTCCGTTCTGCGCGAAGGATCGGGAAGAGGAAAGGTCAGGCAAGATAAATCTCGCCACTTCCAAAAATACGTTCGAAGACACCAACAATTATCAACGACGAAAGTAACGCGAGGTTCCGCTCGCGGAAGCTTTGTAGAGCGTTTCTTGCACGACTTTCGATACTTATAGCTAACCGGTGAAGGCTAAAACAGGAATCTCAACCGCATGGCCGGGCGACCGCAGGATCACGTATCCCTTCCTCGTTTGCGGTGCGTATCGCGCAAACGTGTGGTTTGTCGTTAAAAACTAATCAAGGGGAACGACGTCAAGACAATCCTCGATCGAGGCAATTCGTTCCCCTCTGAAAAAAACCTCGGCGTTCAATATTAAAATATTACATCGCGGTATAATGATAATGATGTCCGACCATTTTTTGACGGTGACGGGTGTTTTTCCCGTGGGAGCGTACAACGTTTGATAAATTTGGTGCTTCTCCCGGGAACAACTTCCATTAGTCCTCCCGAGGATAAGTGGGCAGACGAGGCCACGAGGACACACGGTATAAACCCGCTGTCACGTGCAGGCGATGCGGCACGGCGCGTTTTCTTTCCTTCGCGTTTCACGTGCGCCGCGCGTCCTTCTTGGCCCCGTACCCTGTTAATAGCACAGGCAGTGGTGGAGGGGGCCCGTGCAAGTGACATTCGGTTGAACGATTTAATTATCGGACCGCGCGCTTCCCGTAAATGAGCGCCATTAGACGTAATGAACCGGGATGTAATGAACTTTAACGAGCGCGCGCAACTTCCCCCCTTACCCCGTCAATTTAACGATTATAATAACCATGATCTTTGCTTCGCCATCTAATTAGGTTACTCTCAGGATGGTAAAATGTTGCTTCGCCTAAAGAAAACCTAAAGAGGAATCGTAAATTTTGAGGTTGTATCTTCGGAGGAACACTGTTGAGACAAAATGTAGAGAATGACCAATGCAAACGTTCATGATAAATTAAACAATTAGGGCGAAATAAATTTAGATGAACTTGGTTTACTCCGGTAATTTTTAATTTATTTAGCTAATTTTGCGCGGCTACTAAATGATGTCTTTCGTTTTCTAGTTACGGCAAACGCTCCGCCCCAAAGACCATGGATTCCATTGACGAGGCCCAATAGGACAAGACCAACATGTAAGTACTCATCCGTTCAAGCCGCTTATATCATCAGACTCAAAAACTTTCTCATTTTTCCGTCGCGAATAAAACAAGTAAATATATATAAATTAAATATTCTTTACCTCTACTGACGAACTCATTTGTCGGGTATAGAATAAAATTTCGCTTATTTTTCCTACGCTGACTTTTCACACGATGAATTAATTTGTTTATAATTACACCGCTTTGCGAAGAACAGTCCTCTTCTAATCTACAGAAACATCAATCGCAGATTCGGAATCGCGCTGATTTCCTTCGCGATCAATATAACACGCGGTAAGGTTTTCATTAACGGACTCGTCAACGTCGTTTCGCCCCATCGTAGATTCGTTAGGATGCGCGAGCCGCGCGCTGAATCAATACGTAAATGTTTACAACGCGCGCGCACGCACGTCGCATCGGGAAGGACTAACGGGCGAGTCTGAAGATAACGTATGGGAAAACATACGGCTGATAGTGAATAATGTGCCGCTGTGACAATCGCACGTGGCGAGTCAAAATATGACAGGGCGCGCGGCGAATGCGCGACGTAAAACAAATTACAATTTACGTCCGACGGTGTAATAAATTCACGCACTAAAGGCCACGCGGCGCCTGCCTTCCCTTGCGCCGTGATATTGAACTTCCCCGTTACTTTGGGTCGTTACTTAAAGCTCGACGCCGAGTCGCGTTTATATGCCTGTGTACGAGGCCGTAACTACGCTCGTCTCGTCGAATTAACGAAAATTATTTCCGCGTCCGCGTTCGAAACGAAACATTCGTTTTAACAGAAGTGAAATATCAGGAGTTTTTCGTTGATGACCATGACTTGGAAAGCCCGTGCTTTGCACTTTCTTAATTAATCTTAATAATTATGTCATATTGCTGTAGTATTTCCCTGGTCTCTTCTATCTCCTAAAATACCTATTGCGATATCAAAATCTTTGAAGAATCTTTATAGACATATTAAAGGTAGAATTTTTAATTATCAAATCTCTTAAAAGTGTAGTTTTTGTTTTATTTTTCAATGTAATCTTCTAAAATCGGTAATAAAAGAGACAAAACTCGATCCTAAGACCACTAATATTATTCTAAGCTCTCACCGTCTGTCTAAATTATTTTTCATCTCCAATTAAAAAGGGAGAGGTCAGAAAGACGTACTAGTAATGATTAAGTTCAGAAGAAGCGGAGAAATTCCACGTGCACCTGCACACGCGTCCATCCTCTCTTATCTCAGTTTTTCGAAGCAAGGGACGCTCGCTCGCGCGCGGCGCGATATCGCCCAGGAACCCCAGAGCTCGCCTCGCGTAAATTCGCCTTAACGTACCCCGCGTCCGGACGATGGTGGCACCCTGACCATCGGTCAACGCCGACGAGTTTCGCAGGGCCCCCGGGGCGCGCGCGCGGTGCCGCGCGTCGCGCCGCATCCCGTCGCCGCCGACGGCTGTATACCGCACCATCTGGACAGATTTATTGCACGACACGGGCACGGCACGACGGCGGCGGCAGCGACGGCAGTCGAGGTAGCAGGAAGAGGGTGAAAGAAGGAGAGAAAGCGCGCGGAGAGAGGTATACAAACGGCCGGCTGGGCTGGCTGGGCTGGCTGGATGGCGGGTTGGCCGGTCTGCCGCCGTCCAAAAGGAAGCCATTGTCGGCTCGCGCTGGACGCGATAAATCATTTCGCTACGGTTTACGCTATTCATTATTTACGAGGAGGCCCATTATACTTACGACGGTCACTGATTAGTTATACCGTTTGCACGCATATGCAGATGCGTATTGTGCGGCTCTTCGGCAAACTCGCGATTGGCGCTTACGTTTTATAAATATGTTTCTTTGAATTTTTCTTTCTTTTTTTTATAGAGGAAGCGAAATATCTCAGGAAAGTATCTCCGGTTCGATCTACGTTTTGTGATTCATATAGAGCCAGCTGTTTTCCTATAATTGCGGCGATACAGAAACGTGACTTTAAACCTGATTTTAAACTTAATATTAGACTCACGATCTTTTATGTTTCATACAGATGCGGAAAATTGTTTTTAGCTTGCAAAAAAATTAAAATTGACGACATAAATGTTTACGATATGTGCACAGCTATTTCCCGCGCGGGCATAGTATTTGCTTCTGGCCGGTTAGATTGCCGGTCTCGATCACGTATACGTGCAGTAAGTAGTGATTTATCAATAATTTAGAGAGGCACTAAAGCGGGAAATGGCGAATGATTTGACGTTTCGCTGACTTTACTTGAACATATTACACTTTATTTCAAAGGAAAAAAAAACGAAGCGGGTCATTAAATTCTGGATAAAAATTACAGATGCCTTCTCATACCAGGTCATCTGAAACGCTCTCGTCGTAATTCCCGCGAGTGAACCTCACGTACAAGGTGTGTCGTAAATTACGGCAATCAACAGCGGAAACGCATTTTCCGATATATTTAAAGACGATCTTCTCGTAGAATCGAAAATTCCATTCTAAACTGTATTTAGATTAAAGTTCAATTAGTAGGAGATTTATTTAATAGACATTTAATAGAAGGGATCAAGAGAGCGAGCAGTTCATTCTTTAACCATAGCGAGTTTGCATATGTAATGCAAATGTTACAACTAACAGTTATATTATTATAATGAATATAAAAAAGCATGCAATTATTATATTTATAACGAATATTATAAGTAATCTATATGCAAAATAAATAAAATAATATAAATTTTAATTAATAAATAATCAAATACAAATTACAATTATAAATTATATAAAAGACGGTGTAGATTCACTACTTCTTCAATGTCAAATAACTCCATAATTAGACCATCGTTGAATTTTCGTCAAAGAAAATTTAATGTCAAATCTATCGACGGTCTCTGCTAATTATACTTTATTACTCTCGTTCCTCGAGAAATCCGGTACACTGTAAAGATACCGTTGAATTGGAACGCAGACATATATTATTAGTAAACGGTCATGATCGAGCATTGCGTACCACGAGGGTATTATATTAGGAGAAAGAGAAAGAAAGGGAAAAACCGCGCGCTGCAACGCCGCCCGCCGCCGCGCCGGTGGCGTAATCGCTCAATGCGCGCCGATTGGGAGCTGCCGCCTTACGAACACGGCAATTTAGGAATTACGCGTGTGCGAACGCTTAAAACCAATTTCACCGAGAACGCCGCAATTATCGCGGCGACCGAACGAGCCGAGCCGAGCCGCGCGCACGTTGCGCGATTCCGCTGTACACGCTCGGGGTGGTAGGTCTCGCCGTGCTGCCGTCATCGCCACCGTTATACCACGGGACGCCTCGATGAGAATTATCCTCGTGTACGCGTTCCGGAACGCGCGGAATCCCCGTCGCTCCGGTGATGGGGATTCACACAAGTGCCAAGCTCCACCGAACGGAACACCGGCGATACCCCGTTCCCCATTCCATAGCCGATGTGAATTTTAATTTGCGGACAGCGAGCTCGAGTCATATCTCATCTTGTTTTACATAGAGAATATATTTACTCGATCGCAAACATTGATAAACATGAGAATTATTTTCTTCTACGTTGTGAGAGACTACACACATCAGCTAATGATTATCCGTATACCGGTTTTATTGTTTGACTGCGACCGATGTAATACGTGTTACAATCTATTAATATTGCGCTGATCGAGGATGATCCAAAAAAAGGTCCATTAATTTCATTTAATTTGTCTGTTTATTAATATTATATTATATTGCGCACTAATTACTACGCCTGGCTCTTATTGCCTCTTTCATTATTCTTATTTGATTTATTCAAGAGAGTCTCCATATATTTTTATTTAAATTCTCTTCTTATTTCTAAATCCATTAAAAAAAAATGGACTCGATAATTCGAATGTGACTATCACTGTGATTTCGCCGATTCGTTATCTCGCCAATTGTGTTGTCCGGAAGGACGAGCCGAGGTGCAAAGCTGGCGCGCGATGCCGGCAGCCGGACAGACCCGTGCAAATTACTTCTTGCACCTCGGCGACGACCCTCACAATCATACTCATTACGGAGGCCCCGTACATGGCCGGGTCGGGTTCTACGGGACATGGAGCAATTACGCGCCATTATCATTCCGACGCCTGTAACTGCTTGCGCGCGCGCGATTATATTCTTATTAGAAATCGTTATTGCCGTAGCGCGTGGTAATCATCGCCGTTGCCACTTTTGTCGTGATTATTACCGTCATCGCCGGCGTCGATGCCGGCGTTACACGGGCGAGCGAGCGAGCGGTGCCTGCGTTTGTTACTGTTAGTTAATATTTCGCGAAGGGCCCGACCATTACTATCGCGTTCGCCTCGCCGGAGGATCATCGTCGTTGCCTGTTATTTAATTACCGCGATTATCCCGATCTTACAACGATAAGTAATGAAATAATGGCGCTCAATCGTATAGGATTCATTTAGATTCTGGGACAAAGCTTCAAGATGCGTAGATGGGTAACGCGGTATCGCGCTTTCCTCCGATCATTAAACTCCCGACGCTTAAAATAGAACCCAGCACGAAAGTATGAAAGTCAAGTTTTCGTGAAAGAATATTTCCAATTATTGATCAATTTTATTAATTGGTAGATTCTGTTATCGTTATCGAATCTACATCCCAGCGAGAAATGGATTAAAATTTATCTACCACGAAATTTTTATCAGATCGTAAAAACGTTTCCAATAATCGTAATGTACACTGCAACGTAAAGCGTATATATACGAGTATTATAAAAAAAAGATACGTACGTATATCGCGATGTTGCATAGAAATGTATGCTACTTTACTTTCCTCGAATGTAGCGTTCAGAGGCGAACTCCCTTTCTGCCGATTTATTTCGCTGCATTTCCGCGAGGCATGCCGCGTTTATATATTCGCAAAGTCGGTCGAGCACGGCGCGGCGCGGCGCGGCGTTTCGATCTGTGAATAACTCCGGTTACTACGACGAGGGGTCTGCGCGCAAAACTAGGTCAAGCTCTTGAATTTCGACTTTCCAGTCGGGCCAATTACTCGCGGGCAGATTTTTACGTTGTAAATATCCCACCGCTGCTGCGGACTGAAGATTCGCGGTAATACCGATTTACGAGCCAACTATTTCGGGGCCGTGTGCAGCTGCACGGGTTTGTTGCGCCGCAAAGTCGGTTATTTATCGTCGCTGGGATCTTCGCAAAGTTGATCCCCACGCTCGGAAATTTCGGCTCAGCTCTCTCGCAGCACGAGACGCGTCGCGTTTTATAAAATATTTCGCAAGTGGCAATGGAGCTTTCCCGGAGCACTCGCCCGCCGGCGCCCGTCGACTCGATTCGACTTTTCAGACGCCTTCTTTAACAAACGTTACTATACCGGTCGCCTGGAAAATACGACGCCGATGTCGAACCTGCTAATTTATTAATCCTCAAGCCGTACTTTAGTCGTTTGTCGAGCGGGACATCCGGTGCGAGAGCAGCTTTACGTGGCACGCGAGAGCCGAGCGGCGGTCTCCCTCTGGCATGTGTAAATTAGGTAACCTGTTCGGATCTTCTCTCGTGGACTGGTTTGGCAACTCTTGAGGCAGGTCGCGGCTCGGCGCGCGGCATCATTGACCTCGGAGAGGATGCCTAGCCCGTGAATGGACTACCGCTCGCACCGCTGCCATTGACTGCCGTCGCCTTTTGCAACGTAATACTTGTGGCCTGACATAAAGTAAAATCGCATTTCCTTTATATTAGATACTGTATACAGATACAGTTTTCTTATTTCCAATTCTCCTTTAGATTCTAATGTACTTCTGGATCGTATTCAAAAAATATTTTGTTCGTTCATCTGGATAGTAATTTATTAGTTACTTTTTTTAATTATTATAGTATTGTGTGGCATGAAATTATATAACGTGGCAGCTAATATTTAAGTTCTCTTCGTGAAAGTTAAAATTATAATTCACGGATGACTTTCCCAGATCTATCCGAAACGCTCCTTTTGCGGCGCAATTAGCCCTTTTATCTTAACGCGAAACCGCAACGTGTGTAGCATTTACGGCGAATCGTCTGCCTATACCTGCCACTTGATCGAAGTTCGGGAAGTGTTCCTTCAAGCATATATTCCTCCAAGCTGCTAAAACACTTCGCAGATTAAAGTGATTAACAGGTTGACTGTCGGCAGCCGACTATATGCCCCGAACACACCGTGCCCATCGAACTTTAGCTTACGTCTTGCGGAATACCTTGCCGACAAATTTGCCCGCACGTACTCGCAAAATACTTTTACGCCAAGTTTCGCTAACCACTAAATATTCACCTTATTATCGTCCGGAGTTGATAACGAAAATTGCAACCCTTTATCAAAGGGTATCGTATTTGGAAGTGAAATTTATGGAAATTTTGGTGGAATAATTTTTCCCGTCTCGACCAAGCGATAAGTGCTTGTGATATTTATTTCGACTTTTCGGATAATTAATTAGGCGATTAAAATTCTTATACAGAATTGCACGATTAAAAAGTTATCTTTGTTGAAACGTAACGTAAGTAGCAAAAGGTTTTGCTACTATTGCTAAAAATGTTAGTTGTCCATATTTTACGGCTAGATTTGCTACGGTAGCTATTTTTTTCCGTGAACTAAATAAATATTATCAAAATTTACTGCATTACTTTCTCGACACAATATAACTAACAGCATTTGTCCCGGCAAGTGATACTGCGGTACTATATCTGTTCAGATGCGATGCCGGATGTGGAATATATATGTATATATTTATAATTAATATTGGTCGGCGAAACTTGAGCTTGTTTGACTTAGTTCGTTACCAATAAATGCGCCGTACTTCGAGGAAGCGATCAGGTTTCGCTACCTCGGGGACATGATCGTAGATCGTAGCGATGTGTACTATAACTATTCGGTAACTTTGGTTATTATCAGTTTGGACTGGTAAACGGTAAACCCCGGATTAGCCTAATCCTCTCCGAAGCAGTATTCGTCGGGAGAAAAACGTCTGCAAAAAGACATTCGTTCCATCAATCATCGCGTGAAATGTTAAAACCGAAGATTTAGAAGATATCTTTTAAAACTAAAGAGAAGAGTAAAAAAAAGATGAAGCGGAGGAAATAAAAGAAAAAAATAAATATATATTTTTTATCCCTTATTTGACCATTTTTTACATACATCGATGCACTTCCATATAATTTTATATTTGAAATATTTGAAAAGTATAAGAACAATAATATTTTATTAAAAGGGAGATAGAGAGTGAAGAGTGTGTTAAGAAATTTTTATAGTATTACAGAGACATTCGTAAGAGCTCCGACAAAATATCAAACGAAAAAGATTCATAATAGAAGTTTGCTTTCATCTTTCTTATCACACAGTCATCGCGAACGATAAAACCACCCCTTGAATCCGATGTATACATCCTTGTCTTCATCTAAAGAGGACGGAGGGGGAATAACGGCGGGACGCCCATTAACGTCGCATATCTCACGCAAGATCGAGCCAGAATAATGCCCTCTTAAGATGATCGCCGACTTAGTTGGCGGAAGGACTTGTCGAGATGGTTAACAATCCCCTCGCGAACGAACGAACGAACGAACGAACGAGGCTCGAGGGAAACAAATCGGCGAATCGTTAACGATCGTATTTATCGGGAGGAAGCTAAATTAAAAAAAAAAGAAAGTCTGCCTATCGGCCGGCTTTATCGCCGCGTCCGTCGGGGAACAGATAATTAAAGATTAAAAGCGCTCGCGCTCCGCGCTGCGGAACGCCCTGTGTCTAATACGCAATCAATGTTGTCTCACATTTTACATTATCTTACGTTTTGCATCTCGCTTTGGTACCCAATAAAAACTGAAAGTAATAGATTCGAACGTAAGAAAAAATTACGTCACGTCGCGTTACGCTATTCCGGCTATTCGCAATGAAGAGCGAAGGATCGGCTGTTTCCGGCTGCGAAGAGCGAATTCGCGTTCGGCTGAATGATTAACGGCGTTTTGGTAACGGCGGTTTGGGGCGAATCCGAGATGCCGATACTACCTTAATCGTTTCTCCCCTCGCCGGCGGCGGCTGCGATATCGCGAGCTAGGTACTCTCGTAGTGGAGTTCGCGTACGCGTTATTGGATTGCGGCGGATACCACGGCTCAATTATTTACCCTCGCGCGCTCTCTCTCTCTCTCTCCCCTTCTCCGCTCTCTTTCTCTGTCTCCCTCTTCCACTCTGCACGGCAGCGATCGCATTCGCGGTAATAGAACCGCTGATTTACTGGTTTAGCTCGGCCATCTATCGCCCGGGCTGCGTTTAAATTAGTTCCAGAGTATCAACGGGAGATGTGTTCTTCGAAGCGCCTCGAGATCGCATTCCCGTCGCCGATACCCTGATATTAAGTTAAGAGATTCGACAATTAGTGCCGTGAGTCGAAAGATTGACCTGTTAACAAGTCGGATCGATAGTATAGTTTGTATAGTGCGCGAGGCTCTTCGAAGTGGACGAACCCGACGAACGCGTCTGAAATGGGACGAGAGGCAGTAGAAACGGAACGGCCGATCGTCTCTCGAGCCCGTAAACGCGCCGTTTGACGAGGGAAGGTCTCGATGGGCGATGCAACGACGTTGCGTTCGCTCTAATCACGATTTGATACGCGCGCCGGATAACTCGCGGAGTGGCGCCAGGACTTGTAAGTGAAGCGCGCGGGCGAGAAGAGAGACGTCGGGAATTTATGCAGACAGCCGGGCGACGTTGGCAAGACAGCTCGCTTTATGCTGATCCTCTTATCCCGAGCCGTGAGAATCTGCGCGCGCGCGTGCAAATCTAAGCGTGCAACACGTATCGCGTTTACGGCACGTGGAGAACGGGGGCGGGGAGAGAAATCGGAAGACGGGAGAGAGCTCTCGAGGAAAATGGGACGGCTTACGAACTGAGGCATGAAGCCGCGGAATCGGGATCGCGCGCGAAAGAAACGTGCGCGCCGACACCGACGCGCGGAGTAAATCAAAGCCCTCCCGTTATTATTCGCGTCGCGATCTGTGGACGTTACGTCGCTCGAGATGACTCGGAATAACATTTCCGCGATCTGGGAAAAGGGAGAGAAATGCGCGGGAGGAGAGACGCGTGAGACAGATTTAGCCTTTCATCCGACAAACGGTAAAAATATGTCAGCGATTGATCTCCTTGGATTTTTGATCGTTATATGTATACGTTTGTACGTATGGAAAAAGTACACGTGGTATATGTGGGTATGTTTCGTTGAACTGTCGCAGGTATATTCACCGTGATGTGCTACAACGTGCTGTGCGACAAATACGCGACGCGGCAGATGTACGGCTACTGCCCGAGCTGGGCGCTGGACTGGGAATACCGGAAGAAGGGGATCCTCGACGAGATACGGCACTACGCCGCGGACATCATCAGCCTGCAGGAGGTCGAGACGGACCAATTCTACAACTTCTTCCTGCCGGAGCTCAAGCACGACGGCTACGACGGCATATTCTCACCCAAGTCTCGCGCGAAAACGATGGCGGAGAACGACCGCAAGTACGTCGACGGCTGCGCGATTTTTTACAGAACCGCCAAGTAAGTGCATTCCCCTGTATCTCCTGATTCGCGTCGCGGCGATAATGCGGCTGAGACGTGAGAGACGAAAATGACGGAGAGCCGTAAATATGGATCGCGACCAACGCAACTTTAGTCATAAGCGTCACTTGCGAAACAGTTTGGTAATTTATATATTAAATGGAAAGTTTACGATTTATCGCGTTAGCTTTTCCCCGCATCAATGTGACACAGAAAGTTCAACATAGCAAGAATAAACATGTCGCAGAGTCTGCCACAGTACACAGAAGCTTGAAGGTAGAGAAATATTTATTTTTACACTTTGTTTTTTTTTCCATTTTTCAACGATATTTTTTTCAGATATTTTTAATAAACTTTTCCTAATATCTCGTAATTTTCTACAACTATTTTTATAACGGACTGAAAGAAAATTAATATTATGATATATTAATAAACGAATGTGAATAGCATCGACTGATAATTGTTATAAAGCGATGTAATTTGCGGAGAATTAAAAGTTTATATAATCGTCAGACGCGAGAATTTTTATGTTACTTACAGTCTCATAACGTGAAAGGACGTCGCGTTAATTTGTCATTTCTCTTTGCATATTTTCTTATCACACCGAGCGTTCTAATTGGCTCGCCGGAGAAAAAGAAGAATGATTATCGATAGTCTAGACGCTCCGGCGATCCTTCGATTTATTAAGAGGCGTGGTAATTTAATTAATAAACGCAGGACAGCGTAGCAGAAAACACTGTCCGACGTAATACAGTTATCGATCACGCTCGATCGAATGCTTCGCGAATAAATGCGCCGTGAAGCTTCTCAAAAGATCAAATCGATAACATTCTAACGCGTAAATATATTACAGCAAAAGCAGTAAAATGTTAATAGACAATTGATTTTTTAAACAATTTATTATCCCGGTATGTTTATTTTTTTTTAAATATACTTTTTATCAATACGTGTCCAATTCCATCCTGTATTTATTAGCTGTTTTTAATTTTAAAGAAACATAAATGACAAGCGACAATTTGAATATGAAATGTTTGGTATGCAAACGCTTCGTTGCTTTGACATAAAGAACAATCGGTGGTAAAACAATTGTTTAATTATTCGATGTTACCGCGATGTTTCACGAGATTCCGCATTTTCACGAGGTTCGATATTCGAATTATTGAGTTAAAGATTATCGTTTACCGCCTTTGCGGGATCAATTATAAAGCCGGTTATCACCGCTTCGATACTGAAAACAACGGAAATCTCCCAAAGCGCGACATTTAATTCCGAACGGGAATGAAAGATGCATCCGCTCGTAATTTAACAAAGCGTCGCGCGCGTGTCTGGCGTGTAATAACGTCATGGTAATCCAATATCGCGTCAGATAGTAACGTCACGTCGTAAATCGCCGTCTGTGTTTAATAGAAAAGCGAGCGCGTCGTTTTCGCGAAGCGAGCATTTTCTCGTATTCGATCAACAAATTAACTAGAAATCGATGGATCCCTCTATAGCGAAAATAATATTTGCGCTCGAGAGAATCGGAACCATGCAAGTCTTCAAAATCAGTTTCCAAGCGAGAAATAATAATAACAATAACAATAATAATAATAATAGTGAGAAAATGAGATAAATGATCTTAAAGAAGTGTGAATAAAAGGAAGATTCAATTAGCTCGAAATTGATATATAAAAAAATGACACATTGAGATTTTAGATCTTAACGGGATATTCTGGTTTGAAAGGTAAGAAAGAAAACTAATAAACGTATAATGTTTATTCTAGTTCAGACGATAGCCACACTTCTCCTCTGAATAAGAAAATTTTTTACGTTTTATACGTTGTATATATCCAGAACAGCTAGAATCATTTACACTGTTTGTATACTGTTACCTATTAAAGGATGAAATTTAAACCAATACCTTAAGTTAAATATCATTTTGTTATTTTCCACTACCATGGTGTTGAAATTTATTATTTTAACATAGAACAGTAATATTTTAACTCCATTGGTTTAGTTAAATTAACATTGTTTTAAATAAATTAACGACATATTGAGTAGGAGCAGTGGCGACCTATAAGAATGATTAAAAATGACTCAAATTGAGTATAATTTGACATCACGAATTTAACAGTGTATGAGTTTTTTTGCGAGTTTCTAGTGACCAGAACATAAAAAAGAAGTGTTTTTGTTACTTAAAAAATAAAAATATATTCGTAAAATAAGGCTAATAAACGTGTAAAGTTTAACGTTATTCGTTGTTTTTCGTTTCTCTACAAAAAATTCCTGAAAAATACCTTTTTTATTACGACCCTTCAAATCAGAATACCCCCATAAGAATAATCCCAAAACTGCCGGACATCCTCGCAATCATAACTTTCTCAGTTATTACTCGGAGACAATTTCTTTTCGAGAAAAAGCGAGGAGAATCTAACAATTTCGTGCTTATTTTCTTTCGCACGTCGCGTATAAACGCGATATAGTTCCGATTTCAATGAACCTGATTTCGATATCGCCACGATATGTTACTGCACTGATACGCACAAATTGCTTTTACGACGGCTATCGAACGGAGCGGAGCGTCCCAGCTGCACGTGCACATTGTCTATGACCCATTAATCATCGCGCCCGGCCGCTCCTCTGCCCGAGATATCTATATTTCGACTAATGCTTATTTTCAGAGTATCACGCGACATAATGGCAGGTCTCTCCGCGATATCGCGTTCGCAATGTCGGGCCCCGAGGCCATCGAGATGCGATTAATGCGCCCGTATGCATATGTCGCGCGTAACGGTTCCCTTTATAACCCGCCCCGTCGTAAATAGACGAAGTAAATGTCTGTATGACAATATTAAGGTCGATGGCGGCAAACATGCCCCTCTCTCCATCTCGCCCGTTAAACGCTCTGCAGCAGGATGCAAACCGTTTTAATCACCGCATCGTTTGCAGTATTAAATATCGGTTGGTTTTAGAGGAAGAGGCTCGTAACTTGAAAATATACGGGCACAAAATTTTCAAAGTTTAATCAAATTATTTTACGAATCGTGTTTTCAATAAAAATATCTTTTCCTACAAATATTTTATTTTATTAATGTCCATTTCTACCAATGTGAATTAACTTTAATCTCGGTTTAATTTACTTTTTATCTTTTTCTAATTCTTAAAATTAGAAAAGGATAAAAAGTAAGTTAAACTGAGATTAAAGTTAATCTATATTAGTAGAAATAAACATAAGACACGTTATTAAAGATATTCCATATGGTTTGGCCATATATGAAGCCGCAAAGAATCATCGCTGCGCACGTCGAAATTCGCGATTGAATAGCGATCGCCGCGTCGGTTTGACCAAAAACGATTCGTACTACTGCGACGCGAGACTGCCGCACATAGCTCACATGAACGCTTTATCTTCTTCTCTTCTCCGCTTCTCGCTGGATCGGTCGAAGGTGAAAAAGACAAAAAAAAGGAGGAGCTTACGGTCGCTTTTACGGCTCGCAAAGACGCGGCCGTCGATTTCAATCCGGCTGCGCAACGCGACCAAATCGACCGAACCAAATCAGCGTTCACGCGATGAGCGTAAAGTTCAACTCGCGTTCAATTTCCGCCTTCGGCGCTCGCTCCTCGATCATTCCCGGCTTTATTGCCTCGTCGCGGGTTATACAGTGCGATGTCGAGGTGCCGTTTGAAAAAATAAAGAAAAGGAAAAAATCGGAGGAAGGGAGAGAGGAGGGAGCTTAACATTCGCGCGGTAACAACGCTGGCAACAAAGTTCTGCAGCAAACCGTTAAACGATACACATTTTTCTGGCGCTCTAGTTTCACTTTGGAATGTAAGAAGTTCATATAAACTATACGTACATAAACTATATTATAATTATTATTATATTATATTATATATATAAACTCTAAATTTTTCAACTATAGGTATCAGACCTTTTCTTAAGCTTTCGCAATCTTAGCATTAAAGTGACGTCTTTTCAATTTTAATAACGAGCCGAGAACGAATGAAAAAGCTGTTTCAGACAGCGAAGGAAAAATCAATTACGCATTCAGGATTTCCGCCCGTCAACCCTCTTTCTTATTTTTGGCCAGTCCTTACCAAATCCTCTTTCTTCTCCCTTGAGCGACACTGCGAATGACGTTGATTCAATCTTGTTTACGAGCGGGGGAGAGGCTGGCCGCGAGCGAAGGGGAATGACGGTTCGTATAATGGGTCTTTGGAGAAGAATATATTTCTCAAGCATACGTGCCTTACATATCGGCCGTGCTGGGAGTAGGGCAGGGGAGAGAGAAAAGAAAGTCCGGATATTCTACATCGCGTACGTGATACGCCTCGCTCACGAAGCCCTTCGGTTGTGCGACAAAAATCGTCCCGCGCCGAAAACGACGACGTCGCGTCCTGTCGTATCCAAGTAATATCGCTCGCGCAAATGTCAAGTTCCTCCGCATTCTCACGGGACGAAATTGAGTCCCGTCGACCATTTAAACCAGGGATTTAAAGAACTGATTGAAGAAGAACCATTGCAGGAATGTTGCTTTCCCGGTGACTCGACCCTGCGACGGCAATCGCACTGCTGTCTTCGATGCGACGACAGGAGAGATAAATCGAACCTTTAATCCTGAATTATCTCTCCTGCTTGATAATCCGCTAATACTTCTCTACTTATATCTACGGATCTACTCGAATACATTTCATTTTCAGTTCAAGTTATTTAATTTTTTTCACAAAATATACGTGGCCCAATTTTGTATCTCTTTTTTACGGCTATTCTTTCTTTCGTTTTCTTTTGCAGATTTTCTTTGATAAAGGAGCATTTAGTGGAATTCAATCAATTGGCGATGGCGAACGCGGAGGGTTCGGACAACATGTTGAATCGTGTTATGCCCAAAGACAACATCGGACTGGCTGCATTACTTAGGACTAAGGAAGCTGCTTGGGATAACGGTGAGTGCAGTATATTTCTGAATTTCATTTGAACGAGATAAACATTTCTTCTTTATATCGTATTTCGCAGTACATAAATAAGTTAGGAGTATGTGATACAGCGAGCCGAATATCGCACTCGGTGCGATTCAAATGTATTTGCTCGATATTTTTCAATTTTATAATTTTGGCTGTTTGAAGCTGTTTTTAGTGAGGAAAGTAGAGAATATAAAACAAGTTTCATGTTTCAAAAAAAAAAAAACTGATCAAATCAAACTCGCTTTTAGACGAGAAAACTCGATTCGATGTAACGAGTATTCGCGTAGCTTTTCAAATGTAAATCTTTGATCGTGTTATCACGAACCTACATGGCACTGAGCATGAATACAAATCTATTTAGATATTTCAGCAGTATCTAGAAATAATCTCGAAACGCCGCGCAAGAGAGGGTTAAAGATAACGCGAGCCGTCCGCGGAAATAAAAAGGAAGGCGGAGTGTGTAGTTTTGATGTTAACTGTAGCGTCTGCTCGTTTCGCACACGCCCATGGTGGATAGCGCGTATCCCAGCCGCGTGTTTGCACACCCTGAAACACGAAAGTAATTAACGCGCCGGTCTCCCGGTAACTGATGAAGCCGCCGGACTACTACCGGACGTGCAATACACAGAAGTCCGCGTTTTTCCCGCGGCTCGCTGACCGAGGAAGTGCACGCGTACGATGATTGAAGCGAGTAAATCGAGTACGATACCCCGATCCAGTACACGTGCACAGGGTGAGCCAATAATAATTTCGCCACGCTTTTGCCGACTGATGTAAAAGCGACCGTTGATTTTTCCTCATTACGAGTGTCAAATCATCGATAACAGTATTTTAATTATAATGGATCGAAAATCTCGATATTGCTAAATTTCAAAGCCGTACTTATTTTGTCAAAATTTATTCTTTGCCGCAAGGCAATATATGTATTTTAGCAAACATTTAAATTTGACAACGGGTCGCGTAGTTATTTCAAGTTCAAGTCTATAAAAGTGCAGTCACTCGATCGGATCTTTCCAAGAATAGATCCCCTGTGAACTTATCGGAGGGAGCGCGATGGCAAAGCTCGGACACCCTGTATAAGCGACGTATCGCGGAATGCGCGAGCAAACCAGGCCCGAGATTTATATAGCGGCCCAAAGGTCGAGAGCGGCTCTTACGGCTCACTCGGACGCGTCGGAACGTGCTCTCGTTAATGAGCCATTACCTACGTTACATTAATCCATACCGGGCGCAACGACCGGCTGGGAAAAAGCGACGGACTCTTCTCGCTCTCCGGCGCAGGGAAGGTAATCGATCGCGTCTGCGAGACCGGCGACTCCTCTCGCGGCCTCTTGCGCGCTTCCTGCGCCGCGGTTAACACCTGGTTAGCTCCTTGTATATTGCAAGTTATTACTACGAGGTAGTGGATGCCAGATTATCAAATCGTCTCGTAGTATTTCTAACTTATATGCGCGCGCACAATTATAGCGTAGATATCTCGGTACAGTGTTTAACACTGTATTTAATATCGAAGGATGAAATTTAAATCAATACCTCGAGTTAAATAACGTTTTGTTATTTTTAACTTATACCATGTATGTCGAAATTTATTATTTTAACCCGATTGGTTTAATTAAAATAACATTGTTTTAGTTAAATTAACGATACATTGCGTAGGAGTGGCGGCGACCTATAGAAATGGTTAAAAATGACTCCAATTGGGTATATAATTTGACATATATTTTATAACTCTTGTATAACGAATTTCACAGTATATAACTCTTGACTGGTTTAAAGGAAGTTTTTTGTAAATATCTACGAAATTCGAAATTTTTTAAACTTGACAAACGTTCGTTATCGCAATTAGTCGTTCTTGTAAACGTCTAACTAAACATTCTTACTCGTTGTGACGAGCATTGGTAATTTTAAATTTTTGAATGAAATTTAAAAAAAGGTAGCGCGATTACGAATAAATATTTTTTCGTAAAGAATGAGCGAAAGAGCTCACTTATAGCCATCGCCAGCGTTCTTTGAGTACTTGAAAAATGTGGAATATCCGATCTTCATCCCGGAGAATTTCCGCGCAAATGAGATTAATCCTATCATCCGAGAACCCGGCATGGCTCGCAGAAGTTCTGAACTTCTCCGAATTTCGCGGAGTATTCGCGTTGCATTCACGCCGCATTTCTCGCTTTGATCCCGTCGCTCAATTTCCCCCATACGCGCATGCTTAAGACTTGGCCAATTGAGTAATCGTAACCAGAAAATGTAAGCCAAACTGAGCTGCCGACGTTAAAATGAGCAAACATCCTAAATCAAATATAACCGAGTACATTCATCATTTTCTCGATGAATCTCACAATGAGCCCATTGTCAATGTGTTTCGGTAATTCTGATATTTAGCCAACTCTTTACGCCGCCTTGCCTATATCCTCTCCACTTCCAGACATTGCAATTGTATTAGCCGCGTGGGAAATGGTTTTATATCGGTTTTATATTGACGATATTTTCAGATAGTTTCAACAAAACGCGTGATATGTAATTGGAAAACAATCCAAGCAGCGTACTTATAGTGCGCGATAGAGGATACTCGTTAGCCGACGTTATTTCCTCGCGGAGAGATAGATGCGCTCGCGCCGAGGAAGGATATCGAGATTAGATCTCGATATCGTAGAGCTAAAATCCATGTAACCATGCCAGTAGGGCGCGATTAATGATCCCTCACGCTCGAATACGAGCAAACCTCGGGACACATCCCGATCGCCTTATGTGGGACCGAGCTGATAGCCTCTCTCTCGGCCTCGGTGAAAAAGGATCGCCCGTTCCGGAGGAGGAAACACATCTCCGGGATACGCGAGCCTCCATCGCTCGGACTAATAGTGGTACCATTGGCGGTACTAATAGTCCGATATCAGCTGCCGGCGCACGATGAACGATGCGCCGTCGTTCGGAGATATGAGGGTATCGTTTATTCGCCGGATTCTTTTCCGCGCGCAGAAATTTAAAGGCGATGTCGGAGAAAACGTTAATCATTCACCGCGCGCGCGCGCGAGAGAACGTCTTCTCGAAGTCTCTGATAGCGTCCTCGGTTCTCCAAAGCGATAACGTAACGACCATAAAGACGTCGCGCACCTCGCGATGTGCCGTCGTATCTCCCTGAATTTTATACGTCTCGTGATGTAATCGTGTATCAGATGCGAGTAATGTCGAAATTTAACTGGACAAGTCCTTAAGTTATTACCATTACGGTTCTTACTGCATTGTTTACTTTGAAATCACAGCTGCAGGAATGTTTTCCAAAAGTTTACGTGTGCATCCTTTTTTCCGCGTCTCGCGGATAGAAAAGCAAAGCGCGGGCTTTACGCGCGGTTAACCGGATGAAAGTTTTCCCCGACTTAAAATGCCGGCGAACTCGTTCGGAGATCCCACGGGATTATTCTTCTGTACCGAGGATATAGCAACCGTTCGGTGAACGGAATGCATTTAGATACGACGAAGCGATACGAAGTATCGAATTTCTCGACGGTAAAAGAACGAGAGGAAGAAAAAAAGAAGGAGAGAAGGAAGGGAGTTCAATTATTCGTGGAATAATCAACTGCCGATTACGCCTGCAAAATTAGAGAGTAGTAGCTCTAAAAGCGCGATTAACGTTATTCAATCCGGAGTTAAAATAAAACGACACATCATCGTATTAGAGAATTCGGTTAGATTTAAAAGAAATTTCGTTACTGAAAGATTTCCGTAATGTCTGAATAATATTGAACAATTAAAACATTGTTCGATAGGTAGGAGCTTAGAAAACCGATCGACTCAAAATTTCTTTCCACATTACACCAATATAAATATACACACATTCGCGAGCCACTTGTAACTCAAAATTGATAAAAAGGCAAATTGGGTTCGTATCTTTTTCTAAAAGAAAGAGACGCGCGTTCGCTTGAAACGTGGGACGTCCGAGCGCGTCGTGTAATGTTACGATGATTCGCCATTTCCACGACCTCGTAGCCAGTCGTAGCTATCGGCAGATAAATCGCCGGGTAATTGAATTCGCGAGCGAGCGAATAACCACGGGAACCCCACCCCACACGTCGTCCGTTACACGCGGGACAGCTTGTCGCTTAATTAATCGCGCCTGGCGACGCGTCCCGCGAGAAGAGGAGCAGCGCGTACGCCATCCTCCCGCCCGAGGCTGAGCGAAATCTCGAGCAGGCTCTCTCGCGAGCTTTATAATACGCGCATACTGCAAAGAGGCTGCCGAGACGACCAATCCTATCTCGAATGAATAATCTCGGGAACGTGTGTTCCTTCGCGTATGTCACTCCGCCCGATTTTTCACGGATATATTGAGCCGCCACATACTGAAAAGTGCATAACTATGCACATATGCATGCATAACTAAGTAAGTGCGCGTGGGTTTGGTATTTTTTCACTCATTTTTTATTTAAAATAACGTGCCCTTCTACAGACTGTTTCAACGATATACGCACTGAAAGAAAATTATTATTTGCAAGAAAATAGATTTCTTTGAATCTATTTTCCTTAATTCACACAAATATTGAGTAGATTTCAGAAAACATTTTTCTAAGTTTAAAATATTTTCTCGAATCTACCTAATATTTCTTTTGAATTAAGAAAACTAAACTCAAAGAAATCTATTTTCTTGCAAATAATAAATTTTTTTTCAGTGCGGATATATATATGTATATATATATCATTAAAACTAATAATAAGCAATTAGTAAATAATAGTAATAATATATATAATCGCTACTTAATTTATTTCAGTTATTCAATATTTATTTAATATTATTCATTATTACTGAATAACGATGAAGTGGGATTTAAATCAATAAAATATGAGAATTGTTGCCTGCATAAAATCTTATCATTTTGTTTTGCATTAAAATTCTCACGATAACATTCAAGATCCATTCTTTTAAAAAGAGATCCAAGAACATTTCTCCAATTAATTTCTACTTCAATCAATAGTGAAACTTTCATCTTGTGTTTCGTCGATATGAAGGATCACGTCTTCGCTACTGTGTTTTGAAACGTCCTGTGGATTCGTCGGAAGATTGACGTATCGGCATCGGTTGTCTCATTAAATACATCAGAACAGTCTAATTGGATAGGTGACTCCCGAAGTACCGAGCAATGTTCGCAAAGACGAAACGAACTCCCCGCGAAATGACGTTCGTAATCATTCACGAGCGCGGTTTAATACCGGACGCATCATTCTTCGCATGAATATTAATGCAAAGCGAGAGATGAGAGAGAAAGAGAGAGAGAGAGAGAGAGAGAGAGAGAGATATGCGTAAAATAACGTGGCGTGTTAATGACACGCATTGATATTTAATTATTTTATATATCCTGCAGTGTCACACCATCATTTCTTCGAATTTTACATCACGATTCTTCCCACATATTTTCCTTTTCTGAAAAAAAAGACATGAAATAAGTGAAAAATTTTCATTTAATTAATAATATATGTTTTCTTTGTACTGATATTATTTCTACGTGTTTTTTTACGTATTTTATCAGAGATTAAAATATACTTCTATTTTTGTATTATTGTTAAAAATATCAATCGAAGATCGATGTAATTTTTTTTACTGTAGTTAAACAGTAAAAAACACTTAAGAGTTTCGAAGCGGAATCAGCCTCGGATTGTGATTCTTCGTAAAAGCCAGTTCGCGGAATTGCATGGTCCCTCCTGTAAAAGCTTCTTCTCTCCAGAGGGGTATTCGGTAGCAGAGGAGGAGAGTCGATATTGATTCCTTCAGTAATTTACGAGACGGCTCCCGGCTCGAGACCTGGCGACTGTGGGTTCGCGAGTTCGATTGTCGTACAACCGCTATCAAAGGCACACCTTAACCTTCTATTCTAATCTAGCTTAATTTACACTCCAGAATATCCGTATTGCCGATGGCGAGCAGGCCGGGCCGCATTACCGACTCTCTCTAATCTCGCCGCGTTACGCAACATGAAACCGAATAGTAATGTTCTCGCGATGAACCTCGAGTGAGTAACAAGAATATTTTATTGCTCGTGATTCGAAATGTATACCATTCGTTTGGCATATGATAAATAATAATAGTTCATCAATAGTTCAATATTACTTTGTACAAGCGATAAATAACGATAAGCAATAAAATGCAATAGTTTTAACTATTTAAATACTGATTTTCCCCGAGCGAATCATCGTGTGTTTGTCTTCACTCGCAGGACAAGGTGATGCTACTGATGCTTGAGGGACGTTGAAAGAACACAGTGCGGAGGAATTGAGAACGCAAAGCGAAACAACTGGTTAGAGTAGGGTTAATCTGTAAGGCCCCGATAGTAAAAGCGGATCCTCGCGGGCGCAATTAAACGGTGAATTTACGATATTGTGTTCGAGAGGACAGAGTACGCCCCCCCTCCCCTCTTTGGATTTCACACGGGGGTATTAAATAACGATTTTTGCGTCTGATAATCCCAGAGAGAGCCAAAGGAGAATCGCCACAAACTCGAAGGCATTGAAGAAGAACTTGGAAAGCTGTTTAATCCTCAGGGACGGTCGCGATTTTTGCATTAAAGTCGATTGCTCGAAAAATTTAAAAATTATGTTAAAAAGTTTCATAAGGCATATCGCGATTAAATTAAAAGTTATCGAGGAGTTTAAGTAAAGTATCTCAATTAAATAAAGTATCTTTATATGATCTAATTTGACGCAATAAACACATCAAGTTTTTTCTATAATTTGTCTTCTGATTATATCCTTGTGCTTTATTTTAAATTTAAAGAAAGAAGATTTATTCCTTGCTTTTGTTACTATAAATTTTCTTTTAACAATAAATATTCTTGGATCTAAAATTTAACAACACAGTATTTTAATCGTACCGTCAGATAATTATGCTGATCGAAATAAATTTTACATATACATATACATATATATATATATATATATATATATATATATATAT